GGCTGCGCCACCAGGGAGGGCCTCGCCATTCTTTTTTACTGGCAGGGCAAAAGAAATTCTTGGAGGGGGGCAGAGCCTCTGGTGGGGGACACACAGACCCTAGTCCCCACCTCTCTCCACCCCTTCCTTCCTGCCTGCCTCAATAGTTAAGCCTCCCCCTCAGTGGCTACACCTCAGAAACCACTGGAGTCACCAGAGATGGGGACAGAGTCCACACAGCAGGTGGGAATGGGGGATGGGGAGAGGGCTACAGAGAGGGAGGGTAAGGTGAGGAAATGGGACTCCTCAGACCTCTGCCTTCCTGTGACCTATCCAGGATGCCCTGAGCTGGGTGGGGGCCATAGCTCTAGTAATAGATGGGGCTGGTGAACTGAGGTTGGGGTGGGGGCAGGACTGGGGCTGAAGGGGAGGGCAGACTAAACCAAAAGAGCCAAGGCCTCAACCCAGCCTAGAAAACCTGAGCCCCAATGCTTCAGGCCCCCCTTGTCGTGGTCAGTTCAGTGCACCTGTACTGGAGATATCAGTGGGGTGAGGAGGGGACAAAGGAAAGGAAAGAGAAACCTCCAAACCAGACCATGGGGGCCAGGTCTGAGGCAGGGTAGTCTAGTCTGTGGGTGTATTCCCAGGAGGGCGCTGCAAAGGCAACTGACCCTCCAAGATATATAGTAATCCCCATGCTTGGCCTACGGAGAGCACAAGCACGCAGCTTCGCATCTATCATCTTTGTCATTTCTAACCAATCTTATTCACACCACCCTGTGGGCCGGTCTGGGCCGGTCAGAACTTCCCACCTCTGCCTTCCATATCAGACAGCTGAGCTCCAGAAAGAGCAAGAGATTTGCTCAAAGTCACCCAGGAAACAGAATGCAGGGACAGGAGGGGTGCCAGGAAGCCAAGGTCTGGGGGGAGGGTGATATTTTAAGAGTTTGGAGAAGAATTTGTGTTTCCCTGGACTGTTATGTCTGGTTACACAGGGGCTCCCAGCCTGGAAGGGAGGGAGAGGCCCACGTGGGAGGCAGGGGTGTGAGGAAGAACTCTCATGAGGTCTTTCCTCTCTTTTTGACCTCCCAGGTCTCCTGGGGCCCCTACTCCGGGGAGGACAAGCAGGCATACTCGGCTGAGCCACTGCCAGAATTCTGCGACAAGGAGGATGTTCGGGCCTTCAGGGAGGTATTCCTACTCACTGTCACTCTGATGGCGGCAGGGCCGGGTCTGATTGGCAATAGCCTGGTCCTTGCCACTCACCTGGCAGCCCAAAAGGCTACCACCCGCTCACCCTCTTCTGCCCACCTGCTCCAGCTGGCCCTGGCAGATCTTTTTTTTGCCCTGAGCTTGTTCTTTGCAGCCTTGGAGCCTCGGCTAGGCCGGCCTCTGGGAACTGCCACCTGCGCGGCCATCTGGGGTCTCTACACTGCCTCCTTCTATGCTGGCTTCTTCTTCCTGGCCCTCATCAGCATCAACCGCTACATTGTCTTCACAAAGACTAGGCGGGAGGTCTACTCGCTGGGTGTGGCGCACTTCATCTCAGTCTCCGTGTGGTTGGTGTCACTGCTCTTGGCGCTGCCTGCGGCCATTTACAGCCGGAACAGGCAGCGAGAAGGCCGGTGGTTCTGCAGTCTCGTCTTCCCGGAGTCCCACGCCCAGACCGTGAAGGGGATAAGCGCTGTCGCGCAGGCTAGCTTGGGCTTCCCGCTGCCGCTGGGCATCATGATGGCCTGCTACCTGGTCCTGGGCCGCACGCTGCTGGCCGCCAGGGGGCCTGCACGCCAGCGCGCGCTGCGCGTTGTGGTGGCCCTGGTGGCTGCCTTCGTGATGCTGCAGCTGCCCTACAGCCTTGTCCTGCTGTGGGATACCGCCGACCTGCTGGCTGGCCGCGAGCGGAGCTGCCCCTCCAGCAAGCGCAAGGATGTGGCTCTGGTGGTGACCGGAGGCCTGGCCTTTCTTCGCTGCGCCGTCAATCCCGTCCTCTACGCCTTTTTGGGCCTGCGCTTCCGCCAGGAGCTGCGGAGGCTGCTAACCCCTCAGTCCCTCCGCAGGCTGCTAACCCCTCAGTCCCTCCGCAGGCTGCTAACCCCTCAGTCCCTCCGCCGCAGCCTCCGCGGGCCCCCACCGGCCCCGCCTCTCCTCGTAGTCGGTTCCCACTGAGATCTACAGCGTCTCCTTCGGGAACAGCTAGGACTGCGAATCAAGAGGGAGTGGGCTGAGGAAACGATTCCAGGGAGGGGAGTGGGGCGGGGGGACCCTGAGAAAGTGGTAGGGACCTAAGCGAATTGCCTCTGTAACTTGTCACATTACGCTGATAATATGGAAATGAGATGCAACCCAACAACTGTTACTATTTTTGAGTCACCGACGTGGAAGCGATTTGTAGCAGGGCCGAGAGGGTGGGTGTCATCCCACACACACCACACTTGCCTGGGTGGAAGGCTCTCAGTGGGGGTTGCTGAGACTAGAAAGCTCTAACACCCCCACCACCTTCTTCCAGTCTCTGCCGACAGGGGTGAGGCAGAAAAGCTGCCAGACAGGAGGGAGGGGGGTTCCTCGCCTGTTAGTGTAAGGAACAGCTTTCTAACAAGTAGAGTGCTATCCAATAATGGCTGCCTTAGCACGGACGGGTGGCCGGCCTCTGGAATGTTCAGGCTGAGGCTGTCGGAACTGTGTGTGCTGTGTGTGGTGTGGGTGTAGGGGTGGGGGTCTGGAGATACCCCTTTTGGGTGGGTTTTGGGTTAGATTACCACTCTACAACTACTTCGAAGTTTCTGTGATGGACAGGAAAAAAATAATTTTGGAAGTCTGAGTTGGAGTGTTTTACTTTGGCGAAAAACCAAGGGGAGAATTCCAATTTGCAAATTTACCAGAGACTGTATCTGGTGGGGTGGGGGTGACTCGCTCTCCACTTTCCCTGGGGAGCAGATCACAGGAAATGTCCTGAGCATTCCGGAGAGAGGTAGAACTCGGCAAGAACTTCCCTGCAGGCTAAGGATTGGGCATCCCGACGGGGAAGAGTGTATGGTTGTGGTGTTTTCACCCCTAGGAAACCGCTTTCCTCTGGGGCGAGAGCAAGGACGGAGAGACCTCTGGAGACGGTCGCATTGACTCCTGGCCTTTGTTTTACTTAATCAAGATAGACAGGATGGTGTTCACGTGCGACAATTCTAGCAGCTTAATATCCGGTCAGCAAAGCCTCCCGGACCGCTCCAGCCAGGAGTCGGGAGACCCGGAGCGAGAAGGGTGGGGCGGGGCAGGGAGGTCTCCGAGGGAGGTGCTGGCCTGGTGTCCCCGCCCCGCGCTGCCCCGCCCAGCAGGGGCTAGCTTTCTTTCCCAGAGCCTCCGGCGGCTGAGATCTAACGCCACGGCCGCCAGGGGCCAGGGGCCAGAGAGAGCCCAGAGATGGCGCCGATCCTCAAAGGGTCCCACGCGCCAGCCGCCGGGGGCCGACGTGGAACCCTCCACCGGAGACCGCGGGAAGAGCCGCTGAGTCAGCAACGCACGCGCGCGCCCGCGGGGCCCGCCCCCGCCCCGCTGAGGCCCCGCCCCGTCCACTTAGGGCCGCGTTAACTCCTTCCGACGCAGGGTCGCGGGACTTTCACCCCCGGAGGCCTCCACTCCATCCGAAGACCGCGAATTCCCGACCACCCCAAGCCGCTCTCCCCACTGGAAGTCAGTGAGCTGCGGGCCCTGACCTGGACTGTGTCCGACCCAGGGCTTCGCTTTCCTGGAGTCCCAGCTTAGCTTCTGCACTTCAGAACGGAGGTGATTCAGACTAAAGAACTAGACTCCTTCATCCCGGGCCACCTCTAGGACTGAGTCCCGCGCGAGTCGGCATACTCTCGGTGGCCGAGGGCCTCTCCTTCCCCAGACACCCTGAAACGACTCGGGGTGCAGAGGGCAGCAGTCGAAGCCCCCCCCCCCATGTCCTAACACCTTCTTTGGAGGGTTTCTCATCTGTTGGTGAGCCAAGAGTTAAATCAAGAGCATGAAGGCGGGCTTCCGTGACGTCACTGGCACTCCGGGTCTGACCTCAAAGATTGGGGCGTGGCCAACCTCGGACAGTCCCCTCCCTCCTTAAGCCCCTGCCCCTCCCCGCTGTCACCAAGCCAGGGGCACATGATGCAACCCGCCGTGGTTTCAATCCGTTGATTGGTAGCCGCGCCCGGCGCCAGGCATAGGGATTGGGCAGGGGACGCTGTGACGAAAACTGGACCCTGCCCTGTAAAGAAGGGAGGAGAGAAAGAGGGAAGGGGGGGCCCGCCCGGCAGGCAGGGGGTTGGGGAGGCGGGGTCCGGGAGCTGTGCTCCTAGCGCGCCAGTCCCGGGGCTGCAGGGAGCGCAGCACGCGCAGCCCGGGCCCCGGCCACCGGACGCCCTACCGGACACAACCCTCCCTGGAGCTTGGACAACTGCCCACCTCGGACACTGCACCGGACACTGCCCCCCACAGGGCTGGACACTACAACGGACATTACTTCTCAGCTCCGGACATTGCTCCCTCCTCCCCCCACTCCCGCCCCTGGCCCTGGACGCTTTCCCCCCTCCCCCTCCGGGGGCCCAGAGACTGACCCCCCCACTCTAGCTCGCAACCCCTTGCACCCCAGCTCCAGACACTGCCTCCTCCCTGTCCCCCTCTTCTTCTTCCTCCTCCCACTTCATCTTTCCTCGGCTCGGGTCGGAGCCCTGCCAGTTTCTTCGACCCCCTGCAGCTCGGCCCCGGCTGCCTGCGCCCCATCCCCCGATTCCTCGCCCGGATGCCTCTCCCCGGGGGATTGTGGTGGCTCCTCTGCTGCCGTCGAGGCTTCACTCTTCTGCACCGGGACTACGGGGACGGCGAGCTTAGCGGGGACGGGGACGAGGACGAGGACGAGGAGACCTTTGAGCTACGGACCCCGAGTCCAGCGGGCGGCGGGAGGGTAAGTCCCGGGAGGTTTGGAGCCATGTCTCAATCTCTCTCTTTACAACCAGCCGTCACGCCTGATCCTGCTCCAGACTCCAACCAAACGTGCTCTTGGCAGACTGGGGATGTGGGAGAGGTTTTTGCAAGGGGGCTGGAAGCTCAAGGAGCTGCTCTATTCTGGAGTGCCTGTGGGCCTCGCGCAGCACGCTGGGCGCTGTCCACCTGCTGGGGGCCCTGAGGCAGGGGAGGTGTCACGCGTGGCCCGACCTGGCCCTGCCTCTCCCTTCCCCGCCGGGCTCGCGTCCCATCCCGTCTCCTTCCGCCTCCGCCAGCGCCGAGGAATGTGGCGAGGCCGGCTGGGCGGCTCGGTCGCCTGGGTCCACTCCGCTCCCAGTTCGTGAGCGCTGAGCGCTGATGCCAGATGCGGGAGCTCCCGCCGCAGGGACCTGGGCGAGGGGGAGAAGGCACCTTCGGATTGGGGTCCGCGACGAGGACCCCACGGAAAGGGAGTTCAGGGCCACAACTCTTCGAGGGCCCCTCATCATTACCCTGCCACTCAGGACAGAACTCTCTGCCCTCCCGGGTGAGGCTCCTGGGGAATCTCGGTGGGGATGCGGAGGAAAACTTGGCTCCTCGGCTTTGTCGAATTTGGCCATGGAGAAACTGAGGCTGGGAGACCCGCCCCTGCGGTCCCATTCTGAAGCCTCTGCGCACCCCCAACCAGACTCTGAGTGCTGTGGCCTGGGTCCGGCTACCATCCCCCCCCCAGGGGTCCAGCAGGCCCGGTGGCTCAGTGCCCGGGTGGGGCGGACTGCGCCTGGGGCCGGCGCCAGCACCTGGCGGAGGCGGAGGGTGGATAAATATAGAGGGGGGAGGAGGGAGGGAAGCAGGGGACTGCGATTAGGGGAGTCGGTTTAAGAGAGTGGTCAGCACCTGCCCCTGTGGTGGTGTCTCTGAGAGCCCCTCTCAGACACTCCAGAAAATAGGTGGATCCACACAGAGGCAGACACAGGACCCAGGCATCCCCAAGCTTCCAGCTTGAGCAGGGCCGGCTCTGTGAACCAGGGTATTGCTGTCCTCATGCCCCACCTCCACCCCTCACCCCTCCACCCCCGAGCTTGAGGACAGGTGTCCCTGGCCCCCCCTCCCCCACCTTCTCCTGGCTTTAGTAGTCTGGGCTCAGCGAGATGGTGGCACAGTTCCTGTCTGACCTAGACTCAGTTGGGACCTTTCTCACACCCCAGTCTACAGCTGAAGTTGCAGGGCATGGGGGGTGGGGCGGGGAGGTGAGGGAAGAAAGAGGGAACTGCACCTCCCCTGGGGGTGTCTTGCCATTGGTTAGCCTGGTCTAAAAAGGTCTACCCTTCCCCAGCCCCACAAGGGGGCAGGGTCTCTGCTTACCTTTGTGTCTCAGGGTGTGTAGGAGACATAAGAAGCTCTTGGAATGAGCCCTTATACTAAAGCATTACTCTTCCCTTCGTTGACTCGGTGCCCACCACCTGCATGCCTATCAGTTAGGGAGGAGACATGAGGCGGGATTTCATCCACCTTTGCCCACCAAAGATCGGGAAGAAGCTAAGTCCTAAACCTGGAGGGGACTTGCCAGGGTTCCACAGTGACTGAGCTGGTGTTAGAACCCAGGGACTTGACTCCCTGCTCTTTTCACCCTACCCCACCCCCTGATTGCATCTTCAAAAGGTAACGGGGAGAAGGCTGGAGACTTGGCCTCTTCAACAGCTTGGGCTGTTCTGTAGGTTGGCAACTTCAGCTGCCTCAACAGTCGCGATCCTTGATTCCTCAAGCCATCCTGGGGAAAGCAGCCAGGGGCATCCCTCAGGGAGGAGGGCTGTGCTTCTGAAGGTTGCCCTGCCTGTTTCCGCAGGGCACCCTGGACGTGACACTGACTCAGCCAGTGAGGAGTGGGCAGGTCTGCGACAGGTAAGTTCTGCTCTTGCGTCCCAGGCCTGGTCCCAGGACCCCCATCCTTGCGGTCTTTCCTCACTCGGTTGTGCAATAAGGGAGAGGCCTTACGCCGCCCGGACGCTGTGGTTTGGCCAGGGTCCCGGGGGGCGGTCCGGCTGGGGGCGAGGGGAGGAAGGGGGGGGTCCGGGCTATTTCTGGTGCGAGGTCAGAACAGCCGGACAATTCCCACAGTCAGGGGGAGGGGTGCCCAGCCTGGGATCTGGCACCCCACACAGTCTGGGGAGCCCCTATAAGGAGCCCCCCCCCTGGAGTCAGGGTGCGGAACTTGCAGTCTTGCTCAACTCTCCCTCCCCTCTGGCCCAGGTTGCAGAGCTGGGAAGAGACCCGGAGCCTCATTCCTGAGAGGGGGCTGCCAGAGGACGACCCAGACATCGTGGTGAAAGGTGGGGGTCCACCTCTTGCACACTGACCGCCCAGTCCCACCTCTCTGGGATCTAATGTCTTTTTCTGCTGATTTCCCTTCCCCCTCAGGTTGGTTGTATCGAGAGCCTCGAGGAGGAGGGGCAAGGCCCTGGTTGCCCCCACGCCGGGCTTGGTTTGTGCTCACTCGAGACTCCCTGGACCAGTTCACCAGCAGCGGAAAGGGGGCTCGGCGCCTGGGGAGCCTTGTGCTTACCAGCCTGTGCTCGGTGACTGGGCCCGAGCGCAGGCCCAAAGAAACCGGTGAGACTTCACGGGGACTTTGCCACCTTCTTGGGCAGTGGCCCCAGCCGGTCCTTATTGCCCTCCTTGGCCTCTTTTGCCCCCCAGGTTTGTGGTCAGTGACCGTGTCTGGCCGGAAGCACAGCATCCGGCTCTGTTCACCCCGCCAGGCTGAGGCTGAATACTGGGGTGTGGCGCTGCGTGAAGTGATCGCTTCCAAGGCACCCCTGGAGACCCCCACCCAGCTGCTGCTCAGGGACATTCAGGTGTGAGAGAGGGGACTCCAGTGAACAAGAGGAGGGTGGTGGACCAAGAATCTTTCAAATTCACCGAGACCTCCCTTTGCTATCACTGTGACTCTCTCTCTGGCCTCTAGGAGAGCTGTGGGGACCCAGAGGCTGTGGCCCTCATTTACCGGCGGAACCCCATCCTGAGACACACCAGCGGGGCCTTGTATGCCCCACTGCTGCCCCTGCCCTATGGAGTCAGTGCCCCAGGTGAGTGGCCCGAGCCCTCCAGGTGGGATGCGGTGGGTCAAAGAATCTGGGACCAAGGAACCCTCACTTTTCAAAGGCTGAATGTGAAAACTGAGACTGGTGGGACTGATACCCAGGGCAGAGGGGAGGGAAGGCAGCACAGGAGAAAAGTCTCCTTTGGCCCCTTCTCGGTGGGGCTCAGTTTGACCACTGGTGTCTTCAGACTCCAACTTTCATTAGGCCCTTAAGGCCTTGCCTTGATAACTATGAGAAGCACAAAAGCTCTTTTGGAAAATGTACTGGCCTCATCCAGCTACACTTCTCCCCCAAAGTGGATAGTGACTGGCCCAGGCCCTAAAGCCAGAGTATTACAAGGAACCGGAAGAGCCCTCGTTCTCCGACTCTCAGTACAGTTTGCCCTTGGCCTGTGGTGATGGGTTTCAATTCAGCTACAACATCTGGGGCTTGGACTTCTGTCCCTTGGTCTAGTCTTGTGCTCCACTAACTCAAGGTCCAGCCTTTGGAGGGGGTGCCTGCCTGGGAGCCAGGGTTGAGAGTCTGGATCTCTGGGGCCCATTGCTTTCCCTTCACTTCCTGTCCTCCGTACCCTCCCCTCCTGGCCACCCCCTGCCCCTTATACTCCTTCTGTCCCTCCCCCTGGTTCTTGCCTTCCTCCCAGGGCCCAGCTCTGTGTCCCTTTTCCAAACCGCCCCTCCACCCCCACCCGCCCTCAGGTCCAGGCTACGCGCCCTTGCGGGAAGAGGCAGTGCGGCTGTTCCTGGCGCTGCAGGCTCTGGAGGGGGCACGGCGCCCCGGGCCCCTGATGCAGGGTGTGCTCCAGACCTGCCGGGACCTGCCCGCGCTCCGGGATGAACTCTTCCTGCAGCTGGCTAAGCAGACTTCGGGGCCCGCGGGGCCCCCCGGGCCCCCGGCTACCAGAGACCCCGCCACTCTGCGGTACTGGCAACTCCTCACCTGCATGAGCTGCACCTTCCGACCTGGGGGAGCTGTTCGGGGGCATCTCCTGGGGCATCTGGAGAGGTGAGAGGGAGGAGGTGGGGTGAGGTCTAGTCAGCGCTGGGAGGGAATGGCAGACCTTTCCAAAGGGTTTGGCAGAGGGAGAGCTCAGTCCAGAGAAGGGAGGGAACGCACCAAGGTCAGCATTGCTAATATGTACAGTGCCTTTGTGGGAATTACAAGATCATATCTCACTTGTGGGGGGTGGGGCGGGGAGAAATTACAGAAAGGCTACCCCTTTGGGCGCAGGAAGTCTAAAAAGGCTGTTTCCTTAGGGTTGATGCAGTGCAGCGCCTGGGCTTTCAGGGTGGGAAGGTCAATGTGGTTGGATTGTGGATCGCATTGGAAGAGGAAGGAGGATCACGAACACTTTGGGAAGGGAACAGACAGGAGAGGGCCCTGGCAATGTTAGAAAGTATTTCAGCTCCGTAGAGAGCACCAGGTGCAGATTTAAAGAGCCCATGACTGCCTTCTCCAACTTGGAGGGAGGGAGTGGACCAGGAGAAACTACGAAATAACGCTGGGGAGGAGAAGGAATGCCGGAACGCTGATCCTCGGCTTCTGCCTACCCCAGGACAGAACAGGCGCTCCCGGATTCGGAACTGGCAGAATATGCTCGCTTCATTCGCAAAGCGCTGGGCCGCACGCGCGGCCGGGAGTTGGTGCCGTCGCTCGCGGAGATTTCTGCACTCAGCCAGAGGCAGGAGTTGTTGTGCACCGTGCACTGCCCCGGGGCTGGTGCCTGTCCGGTGGCCATTGACTCCCACACCACAGCGGGGGAGGTGAGGCCAGAGAAAGCCCCCTGAAACCGCAATCCACCCTCCCTTCCAAGGCCTGACTCTCCGGGTGCGGGGTGCGGGGTGCGGGGTGGGCGGGCCCCAGGTTTGCCCAGAGTCTGAGATTCATCTTCTGGGTAAGGGTGTGTGTGTGCGCGGCCGAGTTAACAGACTTGAAAGTGCATCCAGTTAGAGCAGCCTGACCACGGGCAAGACTCCTGCGTGGTCGAACTTTCCGTCACGGCCAATCCCTTCCAGGTTGCTCGAGAGCTGGTGGGGCGGCTGGGCTTGGCCCGGAGCCGAAACGCTTTCGCGTTGTACGAGCAGCGAGGCGCCCAGGAGCGAGCCCTGGCTGGGGGTACTCTCGTGGCCGACGTGCTCACCAGGTTTGAGAAGTAAATGTCCAGCCCCGGCCCTGCTCTCCGTGTGCCCACGTGCCCCTCAGCTTCTGCCAATCACTGAGCCAACGTTTCCGGAGCGCTTGCCTCGCGCTCTGCCCGTGGTGTTTCCCAGTGCACAGACGGACCGACCCCAGGCTCCCAGACCCCTCCCGGCAGTCGGCTCGGCCCTGGCCCCACCCCAGCTCGGCCCTGCCCTTCTCGGGCCCCACCCCTTTCCCAGCGGCTCCCCTGCGGGTCGGCTTCTGATTCTCAGCGAGCTGTTTCCTCTTCTGCAGTTTGGCCGCGGAAGAAGTCGGGCTGGAGGACTCACCCGACTCCGGTTGGAGACTGTGTCTGCGTCTCCATGGACCTCTGCACCCTGAAGGGCTGACTCCAGACGGTCACGAACTGCCTTTCCTGTTTGAGCAGGTGTGGACCAGCGGCATTCGTGACCCCCCAAAGGCCCCAGAGTCTGAACCCTTCCCTCTCCCCATCTTATTTATTTGTGTGGCCACCGGGCGGGAGACTTTACTCGAACTCAGACCTCAGACTCCACACCCCGAGGTGCTTTCGCGACGGTCCCGCCGCCGCCCGCGCTGACGCCGGGGCCTCTCCCGCAGGCTC